CTGTCGACTAGCAACCTAGTCAGTGCCTAAGCGCGGCGCTTAGGCAGCCTAGTCGGCCGCCTAGATCACCGATTATGATGATACACTAGGCGGTCGGCCAGCGCCTAGCACATAGACGAGATTTTTGCAACTAACACTGGATAGATTAGGTGTTGACCTTTAAGCTATTTCACGCAACTGTAACTTGAATTTTGGCTAATTTCATTATTTTTACTTAATATCAAAGTGTGGCCTAAGAAAATTGAGCTATTTAAGACATGCATAAGTTATACAAATATGATCACCTTGATAATTTCAAATCGATATGGTAGATCATATTGAGTTTGACCCTTGAGTCAATTTTACTCTTCAGTAACTTGTTAGAAGTTTGATGAATTTTATTCTTTTTATCCAATATTACAATGTGGTGTATGGTTAATTTAACTGTATTTCTCTTCACATAGTAAGCATTAATTAGAGCTTAAAAGTTGTTTCACACTTTCACAGTTTCACTTATAAGATAATCAAATTTCACCATTGAAGTGATTTAGGATACATTAATATTTGCTTATTATGAAGGTTAAAGTTAATATTCATATTCGAAAAATTCGCATTAATACATAAACTGATTATTTTAACATCGAATATTATATGTTGATGCATGTTATGCTAATCCGATCCAAAGCTGGCAGTTTGCTGCCAAAGAAAAGTCAAATTATAATAAAATAATGGGGAATGCAATGGAATGATATGAGACTCAAAAATTATTATTATTATTATTTTAAAACGAGGAATGATAGTGCAATAATCAAGCAATATAAAAGAGGAAAAGAAAAGTAATAAGTGTTCTGAAAACATTTATTTTAAAGTCGTCAATAGTTTCATTTTAGGGTTAATTTCAGCGGAGGTCCTTCATTTTTTGTGATAATTTTAAATTTAGTCTTGGTATATCATTTTTGTTATTTAACATCTCAAATTATTATATTTTGAACACTTTTAATCCTTTGATAACATTTCGTCTCTGTTTTAGAAAAAGGACAATTTGGTCTCTTCACTTATCATTTTTTTTTTCACATTTTTGTTTCGATTCTTTTTTAAAAAAATCAAATTCACATGTACAATACATGTATATCCTCATAAACCTTCTTAAATTTTTTAAAAAAAAAAAAAACAAAAATCTGAGCAAAAAAGTGAAAAAAAAAAAAAAAAGAAGAAGAAGAGATAAGTGAAGAGATCAAATTGCCCTTTCTTAAAATAGGTTTTCGTCGGAAAAGTCACCGGAAGGACTTAAAGTGTCCAAAACATGATTTTTACCTAGGGTCCCCTCGTTGAATTGTAGGCACTTTTTTTTTTTTTTTTTTTTTTTTTTTTTTTTTGGTGGGACAGCTGGCCTAGAGATTTAAGGTTACTCTATACCCAAAGCCAAAGATTGAACCCTTGACCTTTGTTTAAGAATGGATGAGTTCGGTCCACTCAACCACTTATGAGTTTGATACTTATCAATACTTTCTCGATCAAACTTATTATATATGAGCCAACTACCATGTAATGTAATGATATCTTGATTATCATTGAGAAAAGTATAGAACATATACTACCTTTTTGTATGGTTACATACTATTATTCAGAGAAGTAATAAGAGTATATTTGTAATAATTTTTCATAAATTGTATAAACAATTGAACCTGTTTTTTTTTTTTTATATATATAAATTGATATTAAGTGACATGTATTTTTTTGCGTGACAAGAAAAACATGTAGCCATGTGATTCTATTAAAAGACCAAGAAAGTTAATAAGTCACTCATAATGGAAAATTGAGAGTCGAACTTGAAACGAACCTTCTTGATATTAAGTCAACAACATATATAATCAACTTGATTTAGAGTTACCCAAGTGAAATGTTTAGTTAAAAAAGAATATTCTTTGGAAGAAGAAATTATAGTACGAGTTAATTGAATGAAATCACATTAATGACAATATTACTTCATGGAAAAAAAAAAAAAGTTAATACCATTTGAGGTTCTCCGAGTATAGTAATTTTGCCATGTTTAGTTCTAAACTTTCAAATTGATCATCTGTGGTCCTTCAATTTTCAAATTTAACCATTCATGGTCCAAGTTAACCACCCATGGTCCTTCAAGTTTCGAAATTTAACCAGTCGTGGTCCTCTTGAAAGGACCATGGTTGGTTAAAATTTAATAGTTGAAGGACCATGAGTGGTTAACTTGGACCACGAATGGTTAAATTTGAAAGTCGAAGGACCATAGATGGTCACTTTGAAAGTTTAGGACTAAACGTTGCAAAACCACTATACTCAGAGGACTTCAGATGGTATTAACTGAAAAAGAAAAAAATATTTGTATCAAATAATAATCTATACTATATATAAAAACAAAATCCAGAACTTTAACTTCATGCCCAATTCCTAAAAAATCTTTGATAAAAATATATTGTTTTCTACTTTCCTATTCGTACTATAATTCTAGGTTAAAATTCATATTCTAATATTATAAAATAGTGTAATACAATTCCTATTCTAATCTATACTATATATAAAAATAAAATCCTGAACTTTAACTTTCTGCCCAATTCTTAAAAAATATCTCTTTCTAGGGTTTAGGTTAAAAACTTTGCGAAGCCATAACTTTTGACTCGATTGTCCGTTTTGGACAACATTTTTTTTCAAATCGCGTATTTTTTCGAGATCTACCCACTGCAAACAACCAAAGGCGGTTTGCCCCACCAATTTCTCAAAAAAATTCTTATTTTGATCTTAATTTAACTTTAACTTCCCGCCCAATTTCTAAAAAATCTCTAACAAAAATATATTATTTTCTACTTTCCTATTCATACTATAATTCTAGGTTAAAATTCATATTCTAATATTATAAAATAGTGTAATACAATTCCTATTCTAATCTATACTATATATAAAAATAAAATCCTGAACTTTAACTTTCTGCCCAATTCTTAAAAAATATCTCTTTCTAAGGTTTGGTTAAAAACTTTGCGAAGCCATAACTTTTGACTCGATTATTCGTTTTGGACAATTTTTTTTTCAAATCGCGTATTTTTTCGACATCTACCCATCGCAAACAGCCAAAGGCGGTTTGCCCCACCAATTTCTAAAAAAAAAAATTCTTCTTTTGCTCTTAATTTTAGTTTTTTTTTATGTATTTAGATGGTTTCAACAATATTTTAAACAATTTTATAGCCAGTTAAATAAATAGTTTGTAAGAAAAAAGATGAGAACCTTATGTTATTAGTGAATTTTGATAATTTTTAATTTTTAATTTTTTTTACATTTAAAAAAAAAAAAAATTGGCGCCTAGGCGCCCCCTCGGCGCCTAGGGAGCGCCTAACGTGTTTTGCAACCTTTATATATATATATATATATATATATATATATATATATATATATATATAGTTCAAGTATAATAAAAACCATATGTAATAATAATAATAATAATAATAATAATAATAATAATAATAATAATAATAATAATAATAATAATAATAATAATAATAATAATCCAAACAACACTGCATATAAAATAAAATTAAAATTAAAAAATAATAAGAAGAAGAAGAAGACGACAAAGGGCTCCTCTTTGTAAATGATGTGAGATCATTTTGATCCCATGTCAACAATGTTAGGAAAGAGGAGCTCTTGAGGTCCTATATATAAGAGGAGCAATGCTCATCTTACAAACATAATTGGTTGCCCATCAATGTGGGCAAGTATTAAGACGCCAAAAAATTCTTATTACGAAGTCTTAGGTTAATGACTTTTTTATTTTAATTTTTTTTAAAAAAATTATTATTTATTATTAGGTGGGTTTGAGAAAGATTAACCCAAAATGTATATGTGTTGTTTTTATTTTTAGCATTTTGGAGTAACATTGTTGAGTTATTAAATAATATTTTTCGTGTTTTGATTAAAGACAAAATGTTAAAATGACGAATTTGTCAATAATCAAACAAGGCCATTATCTCATAATTATTATGCAATTTAATAAATTAAGTGTATAGATATAAAAGTTCGTTTGGAAAGTAGGAAAATAATTTCTGAAAAATGATTTATTTTTCATAAAACATTTTTTCGCACAGCAGAAAATTGTCTAAAAGAAAATTTATATTATTATTGTTATTATTATGTAATAATGTAATAATAAAATAAAGTTACAATAATAATAATAATAATAATAATTAATAATAATAATGATAATAATATAATCAAAACAAAACTATATACAAAATAAAATTAAAATTAAAATTAAAATTTAAAAAAAAAAAAAAAAAAAAAAAAAAAGACAAAGCAGAACCACGAGCTCCCCTTTGTAAATGATGTGGGATCATTTTGATCCCACATCGAAAATGTTTGGAAAGAGGAGCTCTGAGCAATGCTCCTCTCCAAACATAATTGTTTGCCCATCAAGGTGGGCAAGTATTGAGAAGCGAAAAGACTCTTATTTAAGAAAGCTTAGATTAATGACTTATTATTTTAATTTTTCTTTTAAGAAAACATTTTACAAACAATGATAAATAAAATGTTCAAAGTTATAACACCACATGTGTACATCTAGATATTAGCTATTAATTCGAGCAATTATTTGCACAAATTCAAGCAATGAAAACATCAAAATATATAAACGATCCAAACCATATCTTTAATTGCACCTATATAATATTTGATGTTCTAATTTAAATAATTATATATCTATTCAAATATTCTTAATATATTACAACAAATCTATTCCGTGCATCGCACGGATGAAAATACTAATTAAGTATTATAATATTTTGCCAAGCACTTGTGCTCAGATTACACCTCTATGATTCTCTGGTGAGGTACCAACTTTTTGGATGGTAATAAATTGAGAAAATACAGGATAAATACTACTGTTTAGCAGACTCAATAGTAGTAAATATTATAATATTTCAGGTAGTTCATGGCAAGTAATTGGATTGATCATTAATAATGATTAATCAAAAGAGAGGGTGAGCGGAGACTCCGTAGCCGTCGACGGCGGCTGCTGGCATGCAAAAACAAGCTATAAAAACCGGTCAATTAAACTGAAGATCGAGGAAAAGCACCATTGAATTGCCTTAATTAGTTTTTGAAGTCAAACTAAGTAACATGGCTTCTCCAACAATAATATTCTTTGTGGTGGCGATGATAGTGGCGGCAACCACGACGGCGGCGGAAGACCAGTCGGCGCCGTCGTGCGGTACGAAGCTCGCAACATGCGCGGCGTACCTGAACTCCTCCACCACCCCGCCACCGTCCTGCTGCGACCCACTGAAAGAAGCGTTGACTAAAGAGCTACCTTGCATTTGCGCCCTCTTTAGCGACAAACAGCTGTTGATTGGACTTGGAGTTGATATCTCTCAGGCCATTAATCTTCCCAAGCACTGCGGAATGTCCTCCATAAACAATGCCTGCAAACCTGGTAAATACTTCAATTCTTTTTTTTTTTTTTTCATTTTCTATTTTGGGTTTTGGTTCATATAATAATTATAATTTGTTGAACAGCTGATGAGGCTCCCACTCCACATTCTTCTGCATCCCTGCCACCTCCAGGTAAAGCCATTTTTGCCACTATGAATTCACTATTGTATGCTACTGTCTCCATATTTAAGTTCTTCATAGATTTACGTTTAAAAAATAATATCCGAAGCCAAATTTTATTAACATCACACTATATAGATCAATGTTGTAGAAGGCCCTAGTCAGGTGCCCGAGAGCATGCATCTAGGCGGCCAAGTAATCCCAATATAAAGTCTACACTTTTTCCACTTAGGACTGTAAGTTGTTAGACTCTTATAATCCTCCAAACTAATTAACTACATATGTTAGATGGTTAGTTGAGTACATGGTTGGAAAAATATAAAAAATGAGCAACTGAACATGCAAAAAAACAAACCACTCCTTCAAGTTGGACGCCGACTCGATCGAGTTAGGCGCCCAACTTGGCGCCTAATCGGCCGGCCAACTGAAAGCCGCCTAAGGCTGAAATCGCCTTGGCCTAGTTTTTGTGCATTTATCATTTGGTTGAGAAAAAAAAATTGTTGCAGCAACAGCAGGGGGAAAGGATGATAATGGTGTGGGCAAAATCGCGTGGACCGGAGTTTCAAGCTTGCTCGTGCTTGGTACATCTTTGATGCTGTGGTAGATGATAGATACGAGGTTTAATTTGTGCGGGCATTCAATTTGCAGATTTTCATGTTAAATTATCGTATGTTGTCATTCTTTATTGTACAATTTTATTCGAAGTACTTTCTGTTATTGATTTGTAAAACCATGTTCTCTAATGTGCTTATGATCAATTTGGTTAAAATAAAGGTTAATTTGGCCATGGAGTTGAGTGTGTACTCAAAAATAATTATTCAAATTAAATAATATTGTAAATAATACACTTTTAATTTCGTTCTTTTGTCACACATTCGTTTATTCAATATTGTTTTTGTGGCTAATTTATTTAATTTTTTCTTCAAAACTCAAGGTTTGAAACATTTAAACTAGAAGTTTGTATTATTCGAACGACTAATAAGTTGGATCGAGCTTGCCCATAACTTGCTCCACCATTTAGTAGGACAGGGCGTCCTACCATCTTTAATTTGTTGGTCAAGCTAGAAAATCTTCGTATGAGTAAGAAATCACCTAATGCTTACCTCTGAATGATTTATCAAAGGCAATTCAATCCAAATTAGTAACTTTTCCTAGATTAATTAACTAAATGATTAACATTTTTTTTCTCTTAATCTTCTCCACAACAATCGACCTTCTACAATTCAATTTGTGTTAGCTATTTGAGAAATTAAATAGAATAACTTTTTTTTTTTGAATACTAAATTGAATAACTTTTTTTTTATATTTTTGAAAGCTACTAACTCTATTACATTGTAGTATCTGTTTATCTATACGTTTTCAACCTATTGAAGCACAAAGAGTCAACACTGCCTCCACAAATTTTTATATAAAAAGAACATTGTTTGCTTTTTTGTTTTTGTAGAAAAGGCCGGGGCTATGAATGGTACGGTGGAATTAAAACTTACATGTCTTCTGGTGTGCCATTATGTATTAAGTTGTTGCCTGATACTAATTTATCGTGTGTCCATAATCAGTGCGCTTAGTCCTCTATATATTGTGGTCCTCATGTGAATATATATATATATATATATATATATATATATATATATATATATATATATATATATATATATATATATATATATATATATATATATATAAAGCGGGTGATTAATGTGCGTGAGTGTTGTGTCTAATGTGCTTGAGATTTGTACTTAATGTGCGTGAATGTGTAAAATGCAGCAGAAATTATGAATGTAAGTTTCTCCTTTATCAATGGGGTCGATCACCCTTCGCCGAAGTTCCCGCGTGATTTACGGAGAATCAAATTGCAGGTTTTTCGTGAAAAAATGGCGCTTAATCTTGGAAGTTGCTGAGGACACTCAATATGCAAGAACGAACTCAACACAACAGCATAACATACATAAGCAAGCTATGGCAGCACTGCAAAGGTTTCCAAGAGAAGAGAGAAACAGAAAGAGTTTATTGAAGGAAGAAGTAACAAGAAGCTTGGGCTTTAATGTGCGTGAATTTTCTGTTCTGCTTCTTTCTGAGCTCGTAATTCTGAATTACTCACGCACATTAAGCACAAATCTCACGCATATTAAGCACAATACTCAGGCACATTAAGTACAAAACTCACACATATTAACATTACGCCCATTAAGTACAAATCTCAGACATATTAAGCACAACACTCACGCACATTAATCCACCGCACAACCGCACGGAAAACCACAAATGCACCTGATCCCTTCCCTATTTATATATATATATATATATATATATATATATATATATATATATATATATATATATATATATATATATATGTATGTATGTATGTATGTATGTATGTATGTATGTATGTATGTATGTATGTATGTATGTATGTATGTATGTATGTATGTATGTATGCATGCATGTGTATATACATAGGATTGAGATCAAATGAAAAAATTCATCGTGTGAGAATTGCGAACTGCTTATTGTGCGTCTTGTAATGCATGATTGTCCATTCGTGCATTATTGATTGTGCATTCGTGCATTATTGATTGTGCATGTGAAAAATTATTATCAAAACACATTGTAAAGTATTTTTCAAAAACAACAAAAAAAATGTTATGGCACTTTTGTAATTACTTTGTAATTATGATTATGCAACTTGTATTGTCTAATTGTGCAACATTGATATCTGATTATGCGGTTCGCATATTTGCACAGGAGCAGTGGTTCTCATTTGATCTAACGACAGTGGCTAATTACTGAGTATTTGAATATTTAAGTGTGTTCTTGTAATTGGGGGGTGTTATGGTAATTATAGTGGCCATTTATAGCGATCGCTTTACAGAATACACCAACAGTGTTAACAAAAGGAACCAATAGTGTTAGAAAAAAGCACAACAATGAAATGCACAAATACACCAAAAAAACACACAACACACCCAAAAATTACGCCATATAACTCACCACCCCCAATGGTGTATTTTCGAACACTGTGTGGTGCTTTTATTCATACCTAATGGTGCGTTCTGGTGATGCGTACCTAATTTGATCATTTTGTGTGTGTGTGTGTGCATTTTCTAACATGGATGGTGTATATTTGTATAAATATTAGTGCGGCCGCACTGACCGCACGGGAAGGCGCGGCCGCACCTGAACTTAATTGGCACCAACACGAATCCACAAATATACCAGAGTAAGGTTAATAATGCACCAATAACGAACATAAAACACACAACACTATGATTTGCCATATTTTGGTGCCCAATGACGACTTTAGCCTTCTAGTTCGCGTAGTGTGAGAACGTGCGCGGAAATATCGGAGAAGCCTTTGATGAATGTGATTCATTGGATTTTTATAATCTAATGGCCTGCAATTGACCACACCGTCGCACCTAAGAACGTTGCCGCACGTGAACTCCCTTATATATATATACTAGTTTTTTACGCGCACTGCGCGATTGGGATAATGCCCAATGTTTTTTTTTTTTTTTTTTTAAATAAGTACTTTAAAGTATATTAAGGCAAGATTATATTGGAATTGTTCATGCATAGATAATTGAATGTTAAATTTGGGTATTTAAATAGGCAATTCTAAGTTTACAAATACAGATAATATAGTCAAGATTGATTATAATTGTCAATAAAATAATTGTATAGGTATGGTTGAAACCAAATACGGGACATAAGGGAGGTCAAAAAAAATTAGGACATAAAATATTAAATGTATACTAATATTGAAGAGCTAACTGCTGATTGTCAAACAAGGACATTGCGAGATAGTTTCCCACTTCAATTTGTTGTGTGATTTAAATACTCTTTTTGTCAATAAATCCCCCAAGTAGTTAATATGATTGGCTTAATTATATATATATATATATATATATATATATATATATATATATATATATATATATATATATATATATATATATATTTATTTATTTATTTATTTATTCTTTTAAAACATTATTCTTTTAAAACATTTATTATTATTATTATTATTATTATTATTATTATTATTATTATTATTATTATTATTATTATAGGTTCGTTCACATTATGGTGAAGTTCCTACCTCGCCCACGAGTAAAAGTAAAGAAAGGAAGAAAGAAAGCGAGTCATTGTGACTCTAGAGATGAAATAGAAAAGCGAGTCTGTGTGACTCAAGTGAAAGAAGAGAAATGCGAGTCATTGTGACTCTAAGAAACCTCCATCGAACAAGTATTCCTTGTTACCAAAGAAAGAGCGTATATGTATAGCTATCTATACTTATACTAAAGATCATATTCATTTTATTGCATAATTAAATGATTTGCACGTGTTCCATGAAAGTAGGATAAGAAGCATGACATTATATTGTCTTTCATTCATTACATAATAGTATGAGATTGCTTATTGAGATATATGATAGCATGAGATTACTTATTGAGATATATGATAGCACGAGATTGCTTATTGAGATATATGATAGCACGAGATTGTTTATTGAGTTATATGATAGTATGAGATTGCTTATTGAGTTATATGATAGCATGAGACTGCTTATTGAGATATATGTTAGCATGAGATTGCTTGTTAAAACTTAAGTATATTATTAACCATCAGTTGAGTATGATTAGTGTATTTCGCCATGATAAAATATGTATGTAGAAACATGAGATTGTTGATGAGTTAAATGATAGAGAAAGTATGCCTATTTGGTAATTAGGTTGCAAGCATATAGAAATACTGTTGAATATGTTTAAATGTTGTTCAAGTGATTAAGAATACTTGATCTAAGTGTGTGAAACAAATGTTTTCCAAAAGTATATGCTATAGTATTTTACATGGTTGAGTGGCGTTATACTTAGCTTTGTGCTAACGGGTTGTTTTTCTACTTGCTTGTTTGGTAACCCTTTTCAGGTGGGCCCAGTTCTTGAGAGCGATCGAGTTAGACTAGCTTAGCTTAGAGTGCTAGTTGTAGTCTAAACGCTTATCAGTTATGTTTATTTTTGAGATTTGGTTGTAAACATGTTCAGATGTTTTGATGGTGTTGGACACCGTGGTTTTATTCCCCAAGTTTGTTTAAAGTTAGTTAAGATTGACTTTGTTTAGATCTTCTCCTTGCCTGTGCAATCACCGTGTGTGGTGGTTGTGGCGGTGACACCTCTTAAAGTTTGTTTAGTATGCTTATTACACTACCTTCTAACTTGTTTAGTTTCCTTTTCTAAGTTAAGCAATGTTAATAAGGTTTAAGAAAAGTGGGATGTTACAACCCGACCTCGGACCACCAGTAAGGCCAACAAGCACCTGACCCAAAATCGCAGTCCAACGATCAAAATCATTTACTACAGAGTCGTCACATAACGTATTTAAGACAAGGATAATGAACAATCACTCCTTCATTAATATGGTGGATAAATGTGGATTTGACCTAGCTTGGCTCCTCATGAGGGACCGATAGACTTAACTCAGCTTGGCTCCTCATTACTAAGGGACCTTTATTGAGACAGAAGAACGTTGGAGCATTAGCATAAATAGGAGACTCTCTACATTCATGGGGTAGAATATCAGGTACATTTTTAATATATTAAAAGTACATTATTTTTGGACTAAAGGTACATTATTTTTGTATTGAAGCCTTGAAGGTATATTATATAAACTAGTAATTCACCCGCGCGATGCACGGAAAAAAATTATGTTGTTATAAATATAAATAAAAAA